CTTGAGCAGCTAGGCGTCATCCTGGGTTCTCCTCCCGGTGCCGTGTTTCCCATGGCACAATTCGGCAATGTCGCCGCACAATCCGGGATCGACGAGATAAACACGGGGCAAGCTCCAGAATCAGGCGGGTATTTCAGCGGATAATTTTTTGTTGCCCAATCGGATTCTGGTCAAGCTGCGACACTAGATCAAATTCCCCTGGATTTGATCCGACATCTAATTGTATATCGCCAGGAGCTCTTCGAGCTCCCCTTCTAGCAGAGAGTCTACGGGAGTGAGCCAGTGAAGTGATTATTATCAAGGTTCAAGAAAGCACGCCTAGGCTCAATTAAGCGCTAGGCAATGGAAGAACGCTTCGGTTTGGGCATAGGCGCTCAACAAAGCGTTGGGCGCGCTTAAAATTTGATTAATAGCGCCTAAGCGGTGCCGAGTGAGACTAAGCGGCCGCCTAGGCTTACTAATTAATTGCTAGGCGCTATCTATCTCAACCCCTAGGTTTACTAATTAAATTTCCATCTCTCGTTGTTTGCTAGGTTTAGAAAGAGAATTAAATATTAATTATTCAATTGCACAAGAAACAAAAAGCCGCAGCCAAGTTCGCCGTCCCTCTTCCTCTCCCGAGCTGCTACTCCTTCGCCCTTCATCCCTGTTTCTCTTCAAGGCTCCAGCTGCACTTCTTCTCCCTTCAGCCGGCTGTCAAGACCCAAATCAAGCCTCACCATCACGAAACTTGGTAAGGCTTTCCCTAGCAATTTCCTTCTATTAATCACCCATTTGTAATTTCTATCTAAGTATTTATGCAGGGATAAACTCATAAAAGACATCATAATAACTATATACGCGTATACAGCACCATCAAAGTTGTTGTAGTGGCGCGAGGCCGCGGATCAGAGTGTGTCCATTCAAGGGATGGAAATATAGTGTCCCAAACTTCACATTGACGGTTGACTACTCTCTCTTTTCTCGGTCGGTGATTACTTGCTAGTTGCTACCGTGAATTACAGAGGGGAAACTGGTGGTTGGATGGGTCATGGGTGTGGGAGTTTTGAATTTTGATAATCATTATTAGAGAGGGGAGCTGCTACTTCTTTGGTCGCTGCTTTCTTGTAGTGGTTGGGGACGCAAGAGCTAAATTGGAACACTAAATATTTCCTTGATTAAAATATACAAAATCAAGCTAGACTAGAATAATTAGTTGTGAAACCTAAATTAATGCTAGGCTATTAGCATATATATTAGGCAATAGGATGTTTGTCCTTTTCTAATCATGATTTCCGAATTGTTTATCAATTTTTTTTCTATAACAGGTTTATCTATACTAGATTCGACATGGATGATGCTAATGCTTCAACGACAACAGTGACAAATAAAGAGAATAACAATGTTTTTAATAGGAAATATGGTGATGTAGGTTGGGAATATGGGAGATTGGTGGATCCTAACAACAAGGATAAGGTGCGGTGCAATTTTTGTGGCCATGAAAGTATTGGAGGAATCTTTCGTTTCAAGCAACACATTGCTCAAAATGCAAGTACTGTGCTTAAATGCACCAAGGCCACACAAGAAGCTAAAGAAGCATGCTTGAAAGCTATGGATAAAAATGCAAAAAAGAAAAGATAAGGCTGCCCGTGAACGACAATTAAAAGATGATGTGATTGTTTCCTCTGGACAACAAGATGAAGAAATGACTTGTGTTGGTAGCTCAGAACCTCATAAGTTAGGGCCTATGGATAAGTGGGCACGTACTATTGATCCTAAGTTGTCTTCATCTGCAGCACTTCATCAACAAAAATTAAACAAAGCACTTTGGGAAGAGAGAACACTTCAAGTGCAACAATATGTTGCAAGATGGGTGTATACACATGGTAAGCAATATGCTTTAATTTCTATTTAGTGTATCTTCCTTTTTATGATTGTGGGATAAACTTGTGTGTTCATTTTTGCAGCTGTACCATTCAATGCAATAGATAATGATGAGTTCAAGCAAATGTGTGAGGCTATTGGTCAGTTTGGCCCTGGATTTATACCTCCTACTTAGTATGATCTTAGAGAGCCTATGCTGAAATCAGAATATGCAAGAACATTAAGTTTGCTCAAGGATCGTGATGATGAGAAGATGAGGAATGGTTGTTCTATTATGACTGATGCATGGACAGATATGAAGAGAAGAAGCATAATGAACCTAGTCACACATTGTGCTGAGGGAACAAGCTTCATTAAGTCAAAGGACACATCAAATGTGTCACACACAAGTGAGGTCATCTTCAACCTAGTGGACAAAACAATCGAGGAGTTAGGTGCTGAACATGTGGTGCAGGTTGTGACCGACAATGCTTCCAATAATATGGGAGCAAAGAAACTCTTGTTGGAGAAAAGGCCAAATATTTTTTGGAGCTTTTGTGCAACTCACACAATCAACTTGATGCTTCAAGGAATTGGCAACTTGCCAAAGTTCAAGAAGGTAATTGATCAAGCTAAGAGTTTTACTATCTTCATTTATGGGCATCATCGTACATTGGAATGTATGAGGTTCTTCACCAAGAAGAGAGAAATCATAAGGCCGGGAGTAACCCGTTTTGCTTCTCAATATCTCACATTGCAAAGCTTAATGGATAAGAAGGATGCACTGAGGAAGATGGTAGTGGATACAAAGTGGGAGAGCTTGAAAGATGTGCACACAAAGAAGGGCAAAGATGCAACATCAACAGTGCTAAATAACACTTTTTGGAAAGGTGTTCACCTTTGCTTGATGGTTTTTGAGCCATTGGTAAGAGTTCTTCGTTTGGTTGATGGAGATGTCAAACCATCCATGGGTTTTGTATATGGAGAAATTGTGAAGGCAAAGAGGGAGATCAAAGAGGCATTTAGCAATGTGGAAATTTGCTACAAAGAAGTCATGACCATTGTTGACAAGAAGATGAAAGGAAGACTTGATGCTCCATTGCATTGCACTGCATATATGTTGAATCCACATTATAGCTATGCTGATGAGTCTATCTTTGATGATGGAAACATTACTACATCATTCATGGATTGTGTTGAGACATTTTATAGTGGTGATGATGACAAGCAAGATCAGGTTGTGAACTATGAATTTCAGAAATTTCAAAAGAAAGAAGGCGCATTCGGGAAGAAGCTTGCAAGGACTTGTCAGAACTTTGATTACAATCCTGGTTAGTACACTACTACTTCATACCTGTGATTTATTTTTCTAGTTATTCATAACTCTAATTTAGTACAACGTTTTGCCTAGTGGCTTGGTGGAGAATGTATGGAGTTGATACACCAAACTTACAGAAGATGGCTATGAGGATCCTTTCATTGACCTCAAATTCTTCTGGCTGTGAGAGAAACTGGAGTACCTTTGAGTCGGTAAGTATTTAATTCTCTATCTATAGTCCATAGAGCATATTCATATTTCATATTCTAAATTCCTCATGCATTGCAATGTTTTACTTGTAGATACATACCAAGAGAAGGAATAGACTTTCAACAGATCGTCTCAATCAATTAGTGTACATACAGTTCAACTCGAGGTTGATGGCCAAGAAGAAGAGGATAAAAGAGAAGAAGAACATTGATATTCTCCTAAGTACTGATGCAACTGAAGCACAAGGTTTCCTGTTTGAGGGAGGAGATGATATGCTATGTATGTGTTCATGGATGAGGATGAGGAAGCAGATGGTCCACCCTTGAGTGGAGTTACAGATGCAATGACTAGTGAACAACTTGAGCTTCGCAGGAGTGCAAGAGTGAGAGAGCTCCATGATGAAGAATTTGAGTCCGAAGAGGAGGAGGAAGAAGAAGATGGTGAGGAGATTGCCTTTGAAGATGATGAAGATGAAGTGGTGGCTGGACGGATATATTTGGATGATGAGGAAAGATCTTGTTTTTATATGCTTACTGTTTAGTGTTTCTACTTTCTATGAACTTTATGGACAAATGGGCACTACTTGCTTGTTGTGATCATATGAAGTTACTCTAGAATACTAAAAATTATGAGATTTTTTTCAAATTTTCTCCGAACGCCTAGGCGACGCTTAATCAAGCTAGGCGCTAGTCAGGAGACCAACGCCTGCCTTACGCCTAGCGCTTTCTTGAACCTTGATTATTATACAGGTCCAACCATCTCAATGGTGAGTTTTGCCCCATATTTTGAGGCAAATCTTTGGTAAGTTTGTTGCCAAAAAGTCGAAGCTCATACAAATTTGGGCGGAAGAAGCTGAAGGGGGTTTTCGCTTGGATTTGCATGTTGGGTTCTGGCAGGTTTGCCCAGCGATGTGAAATGAAGCGGCAGGTTTGCCGGCGATGTGAAACGAGAGAGGGAGAAGTGGGGAGGCGATGGTAGAGATGGAGAATAGGGGTTTGGTTCATGGGTGGGATTGGGTTAATGGGTCGGGAATATGACATGGCGGGTTTAGTTACATGGCATGGCAGGTTTCACCATTTCCATGCTCAAAACGACGATTCTGTTAGTCATGTTAGCACATAACAGACTCCATTAACAGAGTTGGATGAAGACTAACGAACAGAACAGTAACTAAAAGTGAACTATTTTAGTAATTTGAATGATCAAAATTAATATTAATTGTTTTGCAATGACTAAACATGACACTTTTTAGTAAACCTTGTGACGAAACTTGGAATTTACCCAAATATTAATAAGGGTAATGTCTATTTTTTATCCAAATCTTTTTCAGATTCTTTTATATTATCCAAACCTATTAAATTTCTATTAATTATCCAAATCTTTCATAATGTATCAAAATATTAGCCATTTTTACGTTATCGTTAATAATTTTGTAACTCATTTCTTAGTTAAAAATTAATACTAAAATTTTGGAATGTTGATCTTCATGAGTCTCTTACAAATCAATATCATGTTGCTAAGTCAATATTACTAACAAATTTACTAACGAGAAGTTAACACTTGACTAATTTTTAGTAGTTCGATAAATTTAGATAATATAAAAAAATTAAAAAAAAAGTTTGGATAAAAAATAAATATTACACTATTAATTAATCGCGTTGTTGTTAATTGGTTTGGTTCGTTGACAAACCAACCACGGGACAGAAGACCAGATGGCTCCCCGCACTCATCGGCCATCGCCCCCTTCTTCCCTCCCTCTTCATTCCTTTCTGTCTTCTTCGTCCCGCAAAATTCACTCCCTTCCTTCCCAGTTCTTCTTCCTTGGCCAGCCCAATTTCTTCAAGCAGCAACAGCAAGCTACCCATTTCGAGTACCAGTTCCCCCAGTTCCAGTTCCTGCTTCAGATTCAAAATCCCCCACCGTTTTGGAGCTGCTCTGGAGAAAGGGAATTGATAATCCACGATTGCAATTTCAGAGGAGATCAAAGCGGGGAAGAAGGGAACGCCATGAATCAATCAATTAATTCATCAATCCGCAGTTGGGGTTGTTGAGAACTTAGAAAAAGCGGAGATTTCCCTTCAAGCCCCACAAACATTCATTCCCCTTTCTTCTTTATGTAATGCATCAGAAGAAATCAGAAGTCCAAATCGGAAAAGAAAGCAGCGGCGTCTCTTCCGATTTCAACCCTACCCCTCCCCTTCTCTTCCCCCCACCGCCCCATCCCTCTTCCGCCACCACTGACCACCACCGCCCCCTCAACTATGATTCCTCCACCACCGCCGGCGCCCTGCCTTTCCTTCCTCCTCGGATTCTCGTCGATTTCCCCGACGAGACCCCTAATGACCCAATTGCCCCCTCCCCTTCATCGGCTTCTTCTGCATCTACCCCCTACAAGCGGACCCTTTTGACCCACCAACATCACCACGCCCTCGCTGCTCCACCCCCTCCTCCACCGCCTCTGCCTCGCCGCTCTTCCTCCCTTTCCAAATCACCCACCATCTACCATTTCTCTCCATCCTCCTCTCCTCACCACCACCATCACCCGCTATTGACCCTCTCCATCGCTGCAAAATCCACCGCCCTTCGGTTTCTCCGCCGCTTCCGCCACTTCCGGCGTATCCGGGTCCATCTCCGTCTAATCCTTCTCCTCTCTCTCCCCTTCTTCTACTTCCTCGTTTCCCATCCCAGCCACTCTTTTTTCCTCGACTTCTTCTCTGCTTTTGCCTTCTCGTCTGTTCTCTTGTTCTCCCTCAATCTCGCCCTCCCTCGGCTCCCTTCAATCCGGCTGTTCCTTGCCCGCTCCTTTCCCATCAAGCTCGCTGCTACCTCCAAGCCACCGTTGCCTGTGTTCTGGTCGATTGGTTCCAGACCCAGATCGGAAAAAAGAGGTAATTCTGGTTGTTGGGTTCAGGTTTACAGCAACGGGGACGTCTACGAGGGCGAATTCCACAAAGGTAAGTGCTCCGGGAGTGGAGTGTACTATTATTACATGAGCGGGAGGTACGAGGGGGATTGGGTTGATGGCAAATATGATGGCTATGGAGTGGAAACCTGGGCCAGAGGAAGCCGCTACAGAGGCCAATACAGGCAAGGTCTTCGTCATGGGTTTGGAGTTTATAGATTCTATACTGGAGATGTCTACGCTGGGGAATGGTCTAATGGCCAAAGCCACGGCTGTGGAGTTCATACTTGTGAAGATGGTAGTAGGTATGTCGGAGAATTCAAGTGGGGTGTCAAGCATGGTCTTGGTCACTACCATTTCAGGTACTGTGCAATCTCTCTCAATTCCTTTTTCCCCCTTCTTCTTCATGTTAACTGGAAACGATAACTGCATTAGTCCTCTACTGTTCTCTTGTTCTTGATTGCACTTCTCTAGGTGATCATTTATTGGATTCTGCAAGTAGGGCATTTGTTTCAGCTTTCAGGGCCTCTGGGATGTTGTTGCTTTGATGTGATTGCTGTGAGGATTCTGTTCTGATAATTGTGCAAACTTGTAGGTGTCTTAAGGGTCTTCTTCTGCTTACTTGCATTGATGCGGATAGTTGAAGTTGGATGGTCAAGAATAAAGCTCTTTTTCCGTTGGACGGAAGCACTACCCCTGTCTTTGACGTTTACCTTATACATGGGGCTAGGAAAGCTATATAGCTTAGCAGGGTTTCCCCCCCTTCCTCTCGTCTCTAAGTTGATGGATGGACGGCATTATCATTTGATAGTGGGAGGAAATGGTAGGTGGAGAACAACAGGTGCAAGGCCCTTGGAAAGTTATTGATTCTTGCCCATGTTTTTTTGGTTTTTGGGTGCTCTCTGGAGTTTGGTCGCCTCAGGGAATTAATTCTTGTCCGATATCTTCAGGGAACATATAGGGATGTTGTTTGATCTCCTTGGGGTTTGGTTATCCAGCCAATTAATTCTCAAGTCCGAGGCACATCCTTTAGCTATCATCTATATAATAGCAGACTAGTATCTCCCTCCCCATTGGTTAGAGATTTTGAATCTTACCAGAATTTACATTTCACTTCGATTTCCTGTGCGTCGCTACACAGCAAATAAAGCAATGCTTGCGTACTAAGAATTCATTCTAGCATTTAAAAAGTGCACCAGGGATCTTTGTTTTTTGCTGTTGTCTACCTTTGGCTAATTTGATGATTGTGTTATAAATTCATATATAGAGCTTCTTATTGTCCTGTTTGCCATAATCCGATGGTGTTGAATGTTTCTAATAGAAACGGTGATACGTATTCTGGGGAATATTTTGCGGACAAGATGCATGGATTTGGGGTGTACCGTTTTGCAAATGGGCATAGATATGAAGGAGCTTGGCATGAGGGTAGAAGACAAGGGCTTGGAATGTATACATTCAGGAATGGGGAGACACAATCAGGTCATTGGCAGAATGGAATACTTGATGTTCCAAGTACTCAGAATACAACTCCTCCTGCCTCGCCTGTTGCTGTTTATCATTCTAAAGTACTCAACGCAGTACAGGTACCAGTGAATAACTTTTCACTTTATTAGTGCGTTTGTTGGAAGTTGCTAGTCGCGGCGGAGTTATTGATGATTTCATGTCCGATGGACCATTCTCACTTGTATTCGGTGTCTCGCATGGCCAGGAAGCAAGGCGGGCTGCAGAGAGGGCTTACGATGTGGGGAAGGTGGACGAGAGGGTGAATAGAGGCGTAACAGCAGCTAACAGGGCAGCCAATGCAGCTAGAGTAGCAGCGGTTAAGGCTGTCCAGAAACAAATGCATCATCCTAACCATCTGGAGAATGTACTTCCAATCCCGATCGTGTGAAATGCAAATGCCAGGGAAGCGGCAGTTTTTCCATGTCATCCTCCATCTCATCCCACTTTGTGTCGGATCTGGAAATGACTCAACGCTGTGCCACTGGAATGGAGAAGAGCGATTGGAAGAGATTGGCCTGTTCCATTTTTGTTATAACCTTTATGTTTTTGTATACAAGCAAAGCCTTTGTGTCCTAAGAGATAGGGAGTAGAAGAAAGGAGTACGAGTCCTGAGTGTGTGAGTGAGCTCTTGAGCCTGTTTCTTGGGTTCTGTATAGATGAGTTTAGATAGTAGGAGCACAGGTGAAACCTCTGCTCGGCACTGCAGACATATTTGTATTCATTCTGCGGATATTGTTAGAGAAGGAAGTTGGCAATCAATGTTTGTTCCTTCCTTCCCTCCTAGTGAAAGAGGATCAGGTCTTTTTTTCTCTTCAATTCGAAGACCTCTGGCTTCGAGGACACTGATGATAACAAAGAGGCTTATCGTCAATGACTCAATGGCAACACACAAGACGAGGAGGAGTGGCAATGGCTGTGGAGCAAATAAAAGAAGCAAGTTGCAACTAGGGGTGAAACTGGGTGAAACCCAGGCTTGACCCTGCCACTACCCAAAAAAATCCAGTTTTGTATGCTCAAATATTCGGTCCTATTCTCATTTGGTCCTGTATGGCCCTGTCAGGTTGGGTCGGGTCGGGCTGGTCATAGGGTCTGCCCAACTTCTTTTTATATAATATTATCCCTCTGAATTATTTAACATCAAATCATTGGGCGAACGAGTTGGTAACGAACTGGTCCTAATCGGCCTTTTGGGGGGGGGGGGGGTTACTAGTTTATCCAGAGACTACGGAGGTTGAAAGCAATGATGAACGCTGGCGAAACAAAGGAGATGGCTACCTCAACTGTCGAGGCTGTCATCCAGAAGGAAGGTCCCATTGCTATGGAGGCGATGGATGAGACATCTCCAACGACCCAGGCTGAGCAAGTGAAGGGGGGGGGGGGGATGAAGAAGTTGTGACCAGGACGGAGGGGGTGAAGATTGATGAAGTAGCAGCTGGGATCCAGGCTTTAGACATGGATCAAATTGTGGAGTTTACAATGGAAGATGTGGCTACCGGGGTTCAATGGGAAAAGACGAGCCTCTTGTGAAGATTGTTTATGGAGAACCCCCCCCCCCCTCCCCCGGGCTAGTTTAGCCGTTAACAGTAAGGCGGTGAATGGAGCGTGGTCATGTGCGGTGGAAGTCAAGGTTCTTGCAGCGGAAAAGGGGTCTTTTTCAATTCTTCTTTGCTGACGAAGTTGATAGGGACTGGGTGCTCCAACGCACACCATGGACAGTGAAGGAATGTGTCCTGCAATTGAAACCTTGGATTCAGATAACGAAACAGGTGGTGGACTCGTTCATTCTCGTTCCGTTTTGGGTCCAGATGTGGGGGATTCCCAACCACTGCAGCACGGTGGCTTTTGGTAAACGTGTGGCTGGGACGAAATTTGGGAAGATGCTGGAGGCTGGAGCATTTGCAATACAAGGAATCTCGGGGCACTTCATCAAGACGAAAGTGTTGTTGGATGTCACCCAACCTTTGCGATCACAGGTGTATGCGAGTAACCCTATGGTTGGTGAGTTCTGAGTTACCCTTGTGTATGAGTTCCTCCCACTTCTGTGTTATCATTGTGGAAGATTGGGACATATGGCTCCGAACTATTCGTTCCCGGATCCTGTGGGAATCGAACACTATGGCCCAGAACTTAGCACAGAGATCATTGGGTACTGTGTGGACGAGGCAGCTGTTGTGCCTCTCCCTCTTCGCCAGTTGACCCATTCGTCAGTTTGGGTGAACCCTAATATAGGTGGGGGCTGCTGCAGGGAGCAGGAAGCAGAAGTGGGGTCGAGATAGTGTGGAGGTAGCTGGGGATAGCCAGGTTAAACCTGTAGTGCTTGCTTTACCAGCACAGGGGAATATGGAGCGTGATACTCAGATGAAGTAGGGACATGGCCAGGGAAAACGGGTGAATTTGGTTGGTTCTGGTGGTGGCAATAATGCATCCCGCGGTCAGTATTCGAAGGGTAAGGGGAAGGGTGGGAATGGTGCGTTCTAACATCATATTAAAGGGGTGGAGATAGGTAAAGACAATGGTATGAAGCAGCAGGAGAGGTTTGAGACTTGACGGCCGCACAACAGGCAATCAAATGAGGCTGGTGTGCAGGTACCAGCAGATGCGTCGAAGAGATAGGGGAAGGAGGTATTCAGAATGACAGCTCCTGATCCGATGTCTTTGCACCGAAGTCTTGCAATTTCTTTCATTGCATAATAGCATCTCTCCCTCATGACCTAGAGTGGATGAATCATAGCCTTCAATTTCAAGGTAACATGTTGGGAAATTGATGGTCGGATTCATCTTAGCCCGAGCACCACGTCCCAGCCTGCACTCCACACTTGGTTGCCACACATGTTGGGTACAAACGATAGCTATGAGGTCTCGTGAATGGCTAAAAGGTACCTTTGGTCCTTGTCATATGATTCTGTGAAGAGGAGAGGTGTTTGGGGGATGGTAGGTAGTAAGAGATGATCGGGATGCAATAAAGCTATCCGAACCCTAAACACATCCTCGATGGGCACTACGAGCCAAGAGAATAATCCTTTGACGCTTTATCTCAATTCTTTGCCTGGTTGCCACTCACGTGGGAGCCTCTTGTCTATTTTTAAGCACAAATTGAAAAAGTTCCTAGTTCATATAAAAGGAGAGAATCCCGCACACAATGTCTTCCTAAGATAGCAAACACTATCCACTCACACTAGAGGAGGAAAGTAGTAAAATCCCTCACGTACCGATACTCAAACCATGCAACTATCACCTAAGATGCACAACACATCAATCTATCTATTCAAATCAAAGCACATCGAGTAGGTAATTGCAAGGAAAAGGTGTTTTGGAACCCTCAAATTTGAAATTTTTTGGGTGTTCATTTAAGGTTCCAAAAACGTTAATACTTCACCATTCATCACCACAACAAAGGCATGATCACTAGCATACAATCCCATAAGCATTCATCAACGTCTTACATTCACGAACAAGGGAGGATACTAGCAATAAACGGTTGCACCCATCATGATAAACATTCAAACATGCACAAATATCCCCCCCCCCACCCCCCACACACACACTTGAGCAAGACATTGTCCTCAATGTGGGAGTTCGCCAAGAAAAGATCATGAATGTTACCATAGGTCGGGTTGTGGGTTGGTGAAGGTTCACAAGTGTAATCTTTGTCTTCCTGATGGTTTTCACAATGATAAAGCGCTAAAGATAGGTGGGAAGACGAATAGGAGTTATAGGTACGATAAATATATATAATAAGTACTACTACTACTAGCGATAGAATATTTAACCGAAAGGTAAAATGAAAATAAAGAGATAATTAAACATTGTTTTAATATAAATAAAGAAAAGAAAAGAAAAGGAAAGGAAAGGAAAAGGTTGAACGTAGGCACTTGATGCCTAGAACTCATTCCTCCTCGGAGTGTCTTTCTTCTTCATCTTGGGAAAGTGCAGAAGGTGAGGAGCGATTGAATGTGGTCGGTACATCTTCGATCGGAATGTTCATCTTCTCCATGATCGTGTGGATGCACGCCATAATGTTAAGTCGTGCTTCCTTCTCCCTTCGTTAGTTGTGAAGTATAGCCGCTATCATAGCCTCAAATCTATAATCTCTTGCATTGTTGCTCGGTAGGTGAACCGGTTGAAAAGTGGGAATAGACACCTCTCCTCCTTCGTGCACGCTCTCCTCTTGGTCTTCCGCGGTTCTCAATCCTCTTCAGTCCCTTTCCCTGGTAGCTTCCAGAAGACGAAATACGGTTCCTCCCATTTCTAATGTATTGGTGGTTTGGAAATGGGAATCCGCGCACACCCCAAATGTCATCATTGCTCATGTGTAGCACCTTAAGTTTTGACTTCAAGACATCAAAGGAAATCAGAATGGTCCTTCTATCCAATCGAAATTGCAAAGCTCCAAAATTGACTTGGAAATATTTGGCAAGTCGGGTGACAAACACTCCTTCGTGAGTGCGACAAGTCGGTGATCCATCTCGTAACGCTTGAAAATAGATAAGATTGATAGGCCGAGATGGAGAGATTGTGGGAGGCGCATACTATGAAATAGGGTGATGTCTCGAGCTGTGAGATTGCCCTTGCTCCGATTCTTTCCTCCCACTGACCTAGCAATCACTTGGTGGATGAGTCGCCACTCCGGTTGCACCTCACTGGCTTTTGATAGTCTCACGTCACATTGTCGGCTCTTGGGTTTCTTGACTTCAGAATCATAGAAGGCCTTTGAAACAAGGGAAGTCGGATTCCCTTGTCAAGGTGGCGAAATCATTAGGTGATCAATGAAACCCACCGGGTAGATTTCCATTGTTCTAGTGAACTCCCGGATGGACATGTGATGGCACTCTCCTCCGAGTTGAAACTGAATGTTATCCTCAAGGTCGGCGGCCCCCCTCATGTCTCGAATAGTGAGTGTACTAATAAAATCAACAACAAGCACCCGATATATATGTTCTTGAATAGAGAGAAACTTGAGTCATTCCAATTTCTGTACTTTAGGGCGGATTGCATCTTCAATTCCAAGTTGGGTGAAAAGATTCCAACCGAGACAAGTAATTTCGCCTAAGGTTAGCCCTTGAAGCCACAGAAGTTTTCTCTTGAATTGTTCGGGAACATGCTCTAAAAGTAGTGAGTGATATGCTCTACGCTGCCTTCTTCATATTGAGGAACTACCCTTGATTGATATTCAAGTTGTGATGGTGGATGAGTTTCTTCTACAACCACTTCCTTTGACTTGGACTTCCATATTTTCTTCTTTTGACCTTAGCGAGGACGAGATGTTCGAGAGGAAGAGCTCTCACCATGAGTCATGCCTTTAGTAATGTATATTATCCTTCAAAACAAGTGGTACACATATGCATAAATCATCAATCCAACATTAAACATTAAACATTAATCGGGTCGACTGCAATAAGGTATCATGAAATCTCTAAATTTCAGTGTTATTAAAGCTGAGCGAGCCGCTCGGCCCGTTCGGTAAAACCGCCACCCGACCACAAAACCGGCTCGGAACAGTCTAAAAGCCGCTCCAGTTTTATGTAGCGGTTGGCGAGCAGCCGAGGAGGTTAACCGTTCGAGCCGATCGAGCCGCTCGCCATTCAGCCACTAAATTTAATTAAAAAATTGTAGAAAATTGAAAATTTAAATAAACCAAAAACGTCAGCCTCTCAAATTGAATCCTTATTTCCATTTCACAATTTCGAAGGAAAGAGATGAGTTCTGATTAAGAAATGTCCACTATTTATACTGATAACATTTATTAGATACCGATTCTCTAACAGTTTTTAAACGGTCTAATGCCGGTTGGACCGCTAAAGTGCGAGGCGTTCGCATTACCGGGTCATACTCCGGTTCGGTTCTAACAACATTGCTAAATTTCCCACACA